AGGATAAGGGATTGTGGCGCAGCGATCCTTTCTTGGGGGGGGGGGGCGAGGTCTTGCTTTCTGTCTCTCTATCTCTCTCTGTCTTTCCAACAAATACACATGCTATATAGCAGAAACCTCTCAAAAAAAAAAAAAAAAGAGAGAGAGATTGAGAGAGAAAACACATACATACTTAAAGAGTGGGTGTATTATATAAGATCCTTCAATCACAACTACACAACAGACAAAAAACACATATTAAAATTTTTAAAAATCGATATAATTTTGAATTTGAAGTTATATGACCAATAAATGTATGAAAAGATTTCTAAATATCAATTTTGGGACCAGCAGGGGGCATGGTGTTTAAGGTGCTGGACATTCCCACATGGCTGACCATGGTTCGAGTCCCAGAACTGGTGGCTTGCTTTCTCACTTTCTCTCTCGCACTCTCTCTCTGGGTCTATCTTTTGTCAAATTAAATAAATGAATGAATAAATAAAATTAAGTAAATATTTTTTTAATTAAACAAACAAATAAATATCAAATTCATTGAAGAAATACACACTATTTCTACAGTTATTTTTTATGAAACATGTACATAGAACAGATACAACAATTAATTAGTGTATGAGAGAGAAAGATAAATATTTAATTTAAAGCAAGTGAAACAAAATAAATTTTATTAATTACATAAAATATTCTTGCATTATTACAAATATTAAATTATGGGGCAAGAACCAGCTGTCAAATGACAGGTGATATTAAAAAACTTGCTGAGGAGGGACCAGTAGATGGCATAATGGCTATTTCACTAGACTCCCATGTAGTCAACCATGGTTCAAGTCCCGTACCCAGTGGCTTAAACTCATGCTGGATGCATGTGTGTGCGTGCCCAAGATTCCGAGACGAGGATGGAGAAGAAGGGATTGCAGCATGGCCATCCTCCCTGGGAGGTGGTTTCTCCCTTTCTGACCCTCTGTCTCTCTCTGTCTTTCTGACGAGTGCAAGAGCCCTGTAGTAAAATCATCTCCAAAAATAAATAAATAAATAAATAAATAAATAAATAAATAAATACCTGCTGAGGGAACCAGCAGGTGGCATAGAGATTGGGGCACTGTATTCCCATGTGGCCTACTGCAGTTTGAGTCCTAGATACAGGCTTGAAACTCACATGGGCATGTGTGTGTGCATGCCAAAATCCAGAGAGGAGAGTGGAGCAGGGATTGCAGCATGCCATCCTCCCTGAGGATGTGATTTCTGGCTTTCATCTCTCTGTCTCTCTCTCTCTTTGGTGAGTGCATGCTTCCTATGGCTAAAATAAATAAATAAATAAACCATACAAAATAAATAAACAAAAACACCTGCCTAGAAATACAATTAAAGAGAAATCTAAAGAGTAATTCAGAAAGACAGAGAGAGACAGAAAACAAGAAATCACTCCCCAAGGGGGATGGGCACACTGCAATCCCTTCTCCTCCATTCTCCTCTCGGGATCTTGGGCACACACGCACACGAGTCCGGCATGAGTTTAAGCTGCCGGGTCCAGGACTTGAACCGTCGTCAACTACAGGAGTCTAGCAACATAGCCATTACACTAACTGCTGGTCCCAAGAGCGATTCTTTTTATCAGTAAGTCAGCTGATTTAGTTTACAATTCTATTGTCAGTTACATTCTTAACTAAAAATATAAAGCCTACCTAAAAGTACAGTGCCAAGTATGTAACATGCTAAACAGAATATTTAATAGATATTATAATAACCTCATAAAATGCTTATTGTGAAAGACATTGTGTTTAGATATCAATATCATAATCTACTATATTCCTAAAAATTGATAATTGAGTCAGTAAATTTTTTGTAAAACTGGCTCTCATCACATCACTATCCTCTTGCCTCAGCCTCCCAGCTCGGACTATACAGATACATACCACCACATGCAGGTCACTTTCAGACAAATTCTCAGCACGTTATCCAGGCTAGCTTTGAGCTCATGATCTTCCTGCCTTACTTAGTCCCCCAAATAACTGGGACTACATCTATTTGTGTCCTACCACACTAGGCCTTCAGGATCGACCCAGAATTAAACCTGGGCCACTCATGTAGTTCTATGCTGTAGAAAAGTGCATCGTTACAACATTTACACCTTGGTCAGGTCAGTAACAGTAATTTGAAACACCAATTTCTAGTTGTAATTCATTGTAACGTTTAGTCAAACTTTAGAAACGTGGAATTTTAATTATAATTTTTTTCTAAATTGTCTCCATAACTCTTTAATATCAGGAAAAGGGAACTGATGTGACATGCTGCTAATTTTCTATTTTAAATTATTTTTTCAAATTTTAGGTAATGGGTAGGAAGATGCACTGTCATTTCTTTCCTCTTCCAACAATTTATTAATTAAATTTGAGAGGCGAAGAGAGTCTAGTTGGTCTACTAAATATAATGAATATACGACTTCTTTAAAATTCAATTAAATACTCAAATGCTTTCAAAATACAATTTTTTTTTCTCTTTATTGGAGAGGTTTTTTTTGCTACAGGGCGCATGTGCTCACCAGAAAGAGACAGAGAGACAGGAAGTGAGTAATCACCCTCTGGGGGGATCACCCCACAATCCCTTCTCCGCCATTCTTCTCTCAGGATCTTGGGCACGCAAGCACACGCGCCCAGCATGAGTTTAAGCCACCAGGTCCAGGACTCGAACCACAGTCGAGTGCATGGGAGTCTAGCAACATAGCCATTACACTAACTGCTGGGCCCCAAAATAAAATTTTCAAGGGTTATATTCGTGCAAAGAAATTTAAAAGCACTCACAAGATTGACAAAAATCCACACCAAACTAGAATCGCCAATAAAATCAACACCAAACTATTTTATTTTTTCCAAATTATTTTACTGAAACAATATTACTGCAGATTACAATGTGATTAATAGGAAAAACTGTCTTCCAGAGAGGAGCACTCACCCGTGCAGCTTCTTTATTGCTGCAAGTGTCTAAAGCAAGGTGATTGTCCTCTCAATGAGGATATAGCAAGTGGTTGAATAGGCATCACAACAGAAGACCTAAACTGCATAGATGGGATGCCCTGATTCCATAGCAGGTTATCCTCTGTGTGACTCCTTCCTTTTTAACCACAGTCCCTCCAAATCACACACTCATGTTCAAAAAGAGAAGCATGTGGTATGCACCTAACCAATAATGGCAGACTACTGAGTTGATATTTTAAAATCACTTACAAGTTATAGAAAAAAAACCTTTTTAAAAAATATTATACCTTTTTATTCTGCTTTCCTAACCTTTGCTTAATTGGTTGAAAAAATAGATTTGTATTTCTTTAAAGGTCAAAAATCAGTGTTGTTTTATCAAACAATCAACACATAAAACTATTTGCATCATATTACACTTCTACCTACTCATGTCAATAATTAGCCACTTGAAGGAATAGTACTATTTTGCACTTAACCCTTTTCCTCCCCCATTAATATTTACTTAATTGTTATTAACATTTTCTTATCTTCACAATAGCTTTGGCAGTTGGGTAAATTTAAGTAAACCACACCTTGACCTAGAGAATACAGTCTTTCTAAAAACAACTCACTATAAGTGGCCAATCTATGGAAAGCTTGGAGACAAAACCTCATTAAAACCGAGAATTTCCAGAAGGATAGATTTTCTCTCTCCTCTCTGCCTGCCTGCCTGTCCCTCTCTCTCATGTCCATACCACTGATAAACTTATGATATCATTTTAACTCATTTTGTTTTGACATGTGTTAGTTCATATGCAGACTGTGTGGTCTTTCACTTAACTACATCTAAGACAAGCTTGCCTATTTAATGAAGAGGCAATGAGTCCCCAAAGAAAGATGGGGAGGAATTCAAGTGAATCAACTAAGGATTTTCTCAGCTTGTAAAGATCATACCTAACACTGGTCAGGTAAGCCTAATGCAATTTTGAATTTGGTAAGAAAAGAAATTAAATCCAAGAATTTATTGCAACCACTCACAACCTCAAATTGCTTCTATTTTCTTATTCCCAGGAGCCCTTCTTTAGAATTAACTTGTCAGAAAGCAGGAAAAGAATAACCCTGATTTATTACTAAAAGCAAAGTGAGATATAAGCTTCAGAGATGTTATAGGAAGGGTCTAAAAGCAAAGACTACACAGTGTTTGCATTGACAAAACCAGATTGCTAGGTTATTAACAAAAAAAAAAATCTAGTGTTGACAGGTATTTAATTTGGCCTTCTGGCCAACTAGTCTCTAAAGATTATAAAATCTTACTATAACCTCCATATGAGTTGATCATTTAAATGGAACATAAGAATTGAACTGCTAGTTGACTCCTAATAGGAGACCCCAGAGAGTACAAGGATGTCCAGAGAATCAGTCATTTACAAAGGATTCATAGAAGAGAAAGCCAGGACCAAAGCTATGGAATAAATAGTAAAACAATCTTTCACTTTATTTCATTATAAATTTTGATCCAAATAACAGACCTTCTTCCAATCTACAAGTTCACAAAATCTAATGGTTTTCTTAAATTGGTTAGAGAATGTAATTCAGTTTCAGGGTTTTTGAAAATTCTCTAATCTCTATTACTCAAAGAATATTACAAAATACTGCTGGCATATTATTTCAAACCAGAAAGATTAAAGAGAGTTTCAAGAAAAAGAATCAGTTAAGAAAGATAGCCTTTTCATAATAGGGTCTCCTTGCTACACTTCAATGTAAAGTTAATGAATAAGTTCTATTCTCAGATTGCCTAATTTATACACTTTCAGACAAAGTATTTTAATAACCCGCTGGGATTGCAACTAATCTGACATATGGTTTTGTAAACTTTCATTTTTGTAGCCAAGTTGTTGAATAAAAATACTGTATGTTCCACAAAACCCTTATATTCTAGCAACGCATAACACTAAAAATGTTGTATATCAACAGAGCATTAAAGACAAAAGTTATTTTAAGATCTCTGTGCTTGGTGGTGGGGAGGGGGAACCATGTGCACATTTTACATACCTCAGTAGCAAACTGCTGCAATCCACCAATATTAATTGGACCCTCTTCAGTGGCATATAAATTACATCCACCTACACAAAGATCAGAGGTTGGACATACCATGCCACAAGTTAGACCAAGTGGGTTGTCAGAAAAAATCATTTTAGCAGCTCCATAATAGTTCTGTAAAAATAAAATGAAATTCAGATTTACTTTGTAGCAATAAACTTTAAACATCCAAATATGACAAGCATATAATTTGTTCTAATAGATAATTTGATTGAGGATTAAGATGTGTATAGGATGTGAAAGTTATAGTACTATTCACCATCAGTAACCAATGAAAACTAGCAGAGTATCTGGCACATAGGAATATTCAATACATCTGTATTAATAAACGAAAAACTAATCATATTCTAACTGAAAGCTAAAATATAAATGCACTATAACTATTCATTTACAAAGCATGTGACTATAACTTGCCACATATTCTTTTTTTTTCTAATTTTCACAAAGATAGGTAGCATTACTTGAAAATTTTCAAACTTAAATTTTAGAACAACAACCAGAAAGATTTTACTCAGATTATACTGTATTTAATTAAATTAAAAGCAGAGCTTTCTCTCTCTCATTTCACTTGGCTTATCCAGGGATATTATATTTTATGACACTTCGTGTTGATTAACACCCTTCAAAAGCATTCCATTAGTCAACGATGCAGATTTAGCACATTTTGTAGGCACTACTAGACCAAACTTCAAGAAGTTCATCATCTTTCATTATTTACTCTCCATGTATGACTATTATAGCATCAGTTTGACACATTTTGACAAGTTTTTGTAACCTAATTTGTCATACATACACACACACACATGCGCACACACACACACACACACACACACACACTTAACACCCTTCAAAAGCATTCCATTAGTCAACGATGCAGATTTAGCACATTTTGTAGGCACTACTAGACCAAACTTCAAGAAGTTCATCATCTTTCATTATTTACTCTCCATGTATGACTATTATAGCATCAGTTTGACACATTTTGACAAGTTTTTGTAACCTAATTATACATACACACACACACACACATGCGCACACACACACACACACACACACACACACTATTTATTGAATAAATAATAAGCTAAATATTTGGAATCGTTTTTTCCCTCTAATCAAAATTGGGCCTGGACAATACTCCTGAAAACTGTGACTTACATCAATAAAAAGTTTGAGGAATTATAATAGTCAAGATGAGCATAAGGAAATATAACAATCAAACCTGATGTATCTTGGATAAGATCATGAACAAAAAAATTAGGTAGAAATTAAAGAAATCTGAATAAACTAGGGACTTCAGTAAATAGTAATATATCAGTATTGTTGCACTAATTGTAACAAATGTACCATGCTATGTAAGATATTAATAATATGGAAAATTATATACAGGTATATGGAAATTCTTCATACTATTGTCACACATTTTCTGAAAATCTAAACCTACTCTAAAAATACGCACTAGACTCCCACATGTCTGACTAGGTGGTTTGAGTCCTGGTCCCAGCTGCTTGAAAATCACACTGGGCATATGTGCCCAAAATCCCATGAGGAGAATGGAGAAGAAGGGACTGTGGTGTGACCAGTCTTCCTGAAGGGAGTTTTCTCACTTTCTCACTCACTGTCATTCTCTCTGACTCTCTCCAGCAAGTGCATTATGTCCTCTGGCAAAAACCTAACAAAAACAAACAAACAAACAAATAAAGGGACCAGAAGGTGACATGGTCATTAAAGTGCTGGACTCCCACATGGTCAACCACAGTTCAAGTCCTGCACTTGGTGGCTTGCTTTCTCACTTGCTCTGTCTTTCTCTCTCTGTCTCTCTCTAGAGAGTGTCTATGCCCTATAACAAGTTAAAAAGTAAAAATAATGATAAATAAAATTAAATACATAATCCTAAAAAAAAAATAATAAAAGAGTTACTGCATGACCCAGCAATGCCATTCCTTGGTGCACAAGAATTGAAAACATATGTCCACGCAGAACCTACATTAATGCTCATTGTTTATATTAGCCAAAATGTGGAAACAACCCAACTGGTCAGGAACTGATGAATAGCGAAATTTAGTATATTCATATAATTGAATAATTTTCTGAAAATAAGAAGGAATGAAGTAATGATATATGCTACAATACTGATGAACTCTGAAAAGATTATGCTAAGTCAAAGAAGTCATTCACAACAGACATAAGGTGTAATTCCATTTTTAGTGAAATGATTATAACAGGCAAAACAGAGACAGAAAGCAGATTAGTGGTTCCTAGGGCTTGGGGCTCTGATAATAAATGGCAAATGACTGTTAACAGGTATAGGGTATCTTTGGGGGGTGGTAAAACTGTTCTCGAACTCTGCTGATGCTTGCAACATCATAAATATCTTGAATTGTTGAGTTCATTTATATGAGAAAATATGTGGGATTTGAATTACATCTCAATAAAACTGTTATATTTTTTAAAATGTATTTGAGGGACTAGAAATTAAATAAGCAACTTAATTAAAGAATAGTTGAGTAAGATTGCTATATTAGATACAAAACTGGACGGTGTTATAGAGAGCAATAAAACATAATTTTGGAGTCACTTATCTCCTGAACTGAAATAATTTGCATCTCAACTGGACATAAATCTAAAAGCTAACATATAAATTCATAGTAAGATCTTTTAATTAATATTGAACAGCAAAGTCATTCAATGGTTCTTTCTCCTAGAAAACTAAATAATACTTAGGTGTTCCTTTGTATTTAACCAATGCTTTAGTATGGTAATGAAAGGATAGAGAATCATCTTCTTGACCTTATTTCTGATTTTGGATAATTTTACTTAATAATAATTAAGATAAACAATTACTAACATAAAATTCATCAGTCTGTTCCTAAGTAAACATCTTTATTCCCTGCTTAAGCCCACTGATCCACTGCAACTGAGAAGTTTATCACTGCTAAAGATAATCTAGGCATCATGGGTTCGTAGTCTTTTTTTTTTTTTGAGAGAGAGAGATTTTTTTCTTTAGGGTACATGCAGTCACTGGAGAGACATTGAGACAGAAAGCAAGAAATCACCACCCAGGAAGGATGGCCACACTGCAACACTGCAATCCCTACTCCTCCAGACCTCTCTTGCAATTTTGGGCATGAACCCACATGTGCCTGGCATGTTTTAAGTCTCCAGGTCCAGGACTTGAACAGTGATCGACTATGTGGGAGTCCAGTGACTTAACCATCACACAATCTGCTGGTCCCATCCTTCCCACTCTTACTTATTATCTCAGGACCATGTGACATGATTGATTAACCAATATTTATTAAATGATTGAATGACTAAAAATTATATTCCATAATGAGAAGTATTTTTGTAATATCAAATCCGTGTTGTGAAAACGTGATCTATAATTGGTAGAGCACATTTAAAGATTTCTTAAAAAGCACAGAAAGAATATAATCCATTTAAACATCTAGGAATCTTTCCATAGGAATATTGTGGCATGAACCTCATACTAAGTTTTAAGATTTCACATAAACTGATAATGCAAGAGAGACACATGTATGACTAAATATAACAAATAAAACATTTAAAATGACACATGTTGCTTATGATTCACCATACCTGTTAAACTGTTAGACACTGTATATTGTTGGCCATAATAATTCCTTAACATCCTCATGACTGCAAGTATAAACTTTTCAGCAAATTAAAAATTGTAAGAAGTTGTAAAATTTTTAAAGTTAATAAGGACTTCTTAAATATCTTTTCAATCCAAAGCATTTTAGGTATTTTTTAAAATCTAATATATACATATGCTTCCTGACATCAAGATGCTTTAGCATTAATGTTAAGAACTCTTTTCAGGCTAAAGTGTCAGCATCAGCTTTACATAAGTGGAAGTTTAAAAGATTCTGGGTGTGACAGGGCTGAGAGATGAGAGAGAATAACATCTGAATGGATGTAGATTGACATGAAAAAATATCCAAGAAAGTTCAGAATCAGTCTTGATGTAATGACTTGGCAATTTCGCTAGAGTAGTTAATCACTTAACAAAAGCTGATATATGAAAAATGCACCAGAACCAAATTATGGAGATCCTGACTGTCAGGAAACAGAAATAGAAGAAAAACAATTGTGACATGACATGCTTTACTAAGAAATTATCTCATTCTCTCTCTCTCTCATTGTGTGAAAAAAAAAAAAAAGCCTAAGCCAATATTGAGTAATGATGCAGAAAGCAACTTTGAATTTCTTTTCTCACAGATTACTTTGAAGAAATGGTAGATAACTACACTGTTTAAGGATCTGAGTACTCAAGAGTCAAAGACATTACAAAACCAATTAGAAAGGGAACACCTCAACTCTTCCCATAGAGAACATAAAGATCAATATCAATTTTTTCTCTCATAGCAAGTGGGAAGTTTTCTTGAGCCCTTTTACTACAAGAGAGTTGATGTCTATTCTGTGAGCTCTTCAATCTTTTTACAAGTAAAGGCTAGAACATTTAAATTTAGGAGAGTACTTTACAGACATCTCAGCAGTCTTCTAGAAAATACACAGCACTTCAACTGGTTTCTTCATGTTGTTCAATCAATCACAAGCATTTCAGTGTTGCATTGTGTGAAGAGAAATGTACAAGGCTTTGTTAGAAGGGATACAAAATGAATACCTAGTCTTTGGGCACAGAGTTGTATTATGTTATTTTTAAGGATTACGACTTTTATTCCTTCTCTTAAGAAAAATCTAAAACACAGAAATGATATTTGAAATGTTTGTTTTCAAATAAACACAAATGCATAGGTGTTGCATGTTCTGCCCACTAGGTTATCGTATTTCGCAGGTGTTCAACCTTCCATTAGTTCTGAGTTTGCTGTTCTTAGGCCATTTAGGTGAGTTAATTTTAAAATAACTTAAAATTTTATTTTAAAATTATAGTTTGAAACTACATTAGTGTCATTTTTCTACAATTTAATGATTTTTAAATTCATTATCAAGAACTGAAAAACTCAACTCACAAGCCAGCTATCCTGTCATATGGTATAACTAATTTAACAAATAGTCCTATCATATTCAGGCCTTCATATCACTACAAGATTATCAATACAGCTGGTGGATTTATTTTAAAGTGTTCTTCC